TCCACGTCCTGGGTATGACGATAAACTACATCCATGTCCTAGGTAAGACGATAAACTAATAACTAAACTCTAATAATACATTTTTGAAAAAATAATATTAACAGCTATACTTTTTTGAAAGAATAGTGTTACCGGCTCTACGTTTTTGAAAAAATAATTTACCAGCTATACATTTTTTGAAAAAATAATATTACCAGCTATCCTTTTTGGAAAAATATTATCAGCTATACGTTTTCAAAAAAATAATATTACCAACTATACGTTTTTGAAAAAATAATATTACCAGCTATATGTTTTCGAAAAAATATTACCAGCTATACATTTTGAAAAAAAAATATATATGTTTTTTCAAAAAATATACCAGATTTTTGAAAAAAAAAAAAAAAAAAAAAAAAAAAAAAAAAAAAAAAGAAAAAGTTGTTGGCATTAAATGACCCACTGAGGTTGATATGCTGTAAAACAAAACCAAATAGGAGAGTTTTTATACCACAAATTCTATGATGCAAGATGATCTGCATACATGCAGTAACACAGAGAAATGATAGTTTGACCACGATTGCTGAAAAAGTGACAACAAAATAGATAAATATATGGTATAAATTCAAGAGAATGTAATTTTTCAATTTTTCAAACTCTACAAACAGAAGATATTAGTATGTCAATCTACACTAAATAAGTTTTCCAATGATACTAAACATGATAACATCAAAATTTTCTGTCAACTAAGATCTTTGAATATTTAAATTCAACATCAAAAAATTGTCATTTGTCCCTTTGAAACCTGTTCTTTTATTGTCCTTTCTCCTCAGTGTTTTTTAGATTTTCTCAATCTCAGTAACCCAAAAGTTCCTTTGTAGTGGCTTTATCACATTGCTTTGAGTGAGATGATTAAAAAAAACAACAACAAAAAAAAAAAAGTATTCCCAGTTCAAACATTTAGACTATAGAAGGCAAAACAAAATAGTAAAATTGCAAATTAAGCCCTGGAAACCAATTGTAATGAAAATTTCCATACTAGTGTAAATTTAAGTTCAGCCTTATTTGCATCAAGACTAAAGCTCGGCCAGCATTACTGGCTTTGTTTACACACATTTGCCTCGAGTTGTCATGTGCAGAAGCTTTACTTGCCTTGATTACTGTGAAAACTTTAAATGCACGCAGTAATAAAAATGAATAAGAAGATAAGAAGATCAGTAAAAAGTCTGTTAACACTTTCACTGCTACTCATTTGCCCAGTTCTGCCCCCATCCGGCCAGCCATTTTTAAAGAAAATGCCAAATTTCAACCTACATATTTTATTGCACAGAAAACTGGTACCAGTGTGTTTTACAGCATTCCATTTTCATGGATATACCTGGGAATGACTTACCAGATCAGTAATGGGTATACACATGATATCTTTTGAAGCATTGTCCTTTGTGATTTTATGATAAATGGCGCAACAGAACACTCATACCAGCGGTATGCAAAAAACATAGGTTTCCGTACTTAGCCAGCTGGAGCAAGATAAGAAAAACGAAGATCTCCGTAGTTACCAGCGGAAGTGTTAACTAAGTAAGTTTCTGCACATTACTATTCTAGGTAAATGTATGTAAACAACACTAGTAATAGTGGCCGGGCTAGACATGAATAAGACTGAACTTGTATTGTTGATAACTCCTAAATGGATTTCTTCCACAAACCTTTATTGTTACTTTTTAAATAAGCATGCAAATTTACACCAGAATGGAAATTTTCATTACAATTGGTTTCTGGGGCTTAATCTGCAATTTTACCAATAAAATTAGTGAAGTATTTTTTTTTTTTTTTACTTATAGCCCACCAACTTTACTACTTTTCCAACATTACTCAATTTGGTCCAATTCATTTTCTATAAGTTTCAAATTAATATTTCAATCAGCAGAGAGAAAAATTGATAAGTACCAAATTTTGTGATTTTTTTTCTTAATCACTTCACCCCAAGCAAGGCCACTAGAACACAGGAGGTTAAAGGGAATGAGAAGACTTTAGTGGAGGGGATTGCGGAAAAGACAAAAAAGGAACAGGGTTCAAGAAGACAGAAGATGGCAGTTAACATTGCATTTAGATTTTTGAAGATTGTAATTATCAGTGAAGCAAGAAATTGGAAGGGTGTTCCACGAGAAATGCAAGAAAAGAAACTGTTAGAGTAGAAGTGGCAATTGCATCTAAATAGTTGAACAATGAGACCTAATTGCTAATCTAGTAGCATGCTTAAATTCATGTAGTGGAAGCACTAGAGAAAAAAGCTCATCAGAACAGTTGCCATAAAATTATTTATAGAAAAGAGAGGGAAGCCATGTCATGTCAGTGAGAAAGTGTCTGAAGTCAAGATTCCAGATCAGAAGAATACCGAGATGTACAGCAGAAGCACCAGAACAGATATGGTAACAATATTCAATACATGGATTTATAAATGTGCAAGATGGATTCTGATGAGAAAATTTTTACTTAAAGTTTACACAAGTTTAAGCAATCACTGCATTTGATTATCTTCTCTTTCATAATTATTGCTACTTTGACAAACAGTAACTGCCAAATGTCAAAAATAACAATGGCTATAACAGCCTTTTTGCTGCTTCTACCTAGGCAGGTAAGCTAATTTACATATATGTGTATATACATGTCATTTAGGAGGCACTTCAACATGGTGTAATGGTTAGCAAATTTGAGTGTGTAGTGAGTTTGATCCTCACTGGGTGCTGCATAATTTTGCTCTTATGCCACTTCTAAACTACACTTATAAGAGCAATTTGAGATAATGCAATGGTTAGAAGCTTGTCTCGCAAGATAAGTTAGAACTGTGTAGTTGATCCTCACTGGGGGATCCATGTTAAGCTACACTTAGTAAAAAATGCCATTTAGTACTTATCCAACTACCGTCTTTCTTCCAGTTAATAACCACATATCACTGAGAATAAATAAGGTTTAAAAATGCATTGTCAGTAGGTGGGAATTAAGGCGGGCATTGCTGAGAGAGGTCGAGTAATAATTGAAATTCATTTATTCCAGTTAAATCAGTAAACAATGAATGGAAAACTGATTTCCCCTTCTCAAACAATAATAATAGTTTTCTTCTTTGCCTGATTTCATATTGCGAAAAAGAACGTTAGCGATCTCAGGAATATAAACACAAAAACCACTTTGGACAAAAACAAACAAACAAAAACACACAAAAACAAAAAAAAACACACACAAACAAAAACAAACACACACACATACATACATACATTATCAACAGGCCGTACTGAAAAGTCATCAGCCCAAGAAGGAATTTCCAAAATTCCCGATTTTGGAGGAAGAGGGTCATACCCCAAACTTTTTAACACCGCTCGTATATTCAATGTAAGGATTATGTCAGTTCGTCGAAAAAGAAAAAAAATATCGTCTTAAAAAGCATTTTTTATTTCATAACAGATTCCACACTCCAGATTATTTTTCTCCATCGTATCTGCTGCCGTTTGGTGCCCGTACAAAAAATACTACTACCGTTGTCCCATGAATAGTTGTTTTTGTTTTGTTACGTTTTTCAGTACTGTTTTCAAGTGTATGTGCATAGCATACAAAAGCTTTAAACTACGAGGAGGGGAAACGACTTCACAAAATTAGGCTTCTGATGATTTGGTTATTGAAATTCTGATTTTGGGAAATGCAGGTTGGACTGAGAAGTTTTCAACAAAAAGAAATTATTACTACTAATACTACTACTAAAAACAACAATATTTTTGTTTTCAATTATCACTGCTAGTTTTAAAGCCTCGTTAAGAAAGATTTAAAAAGGCCGAATATTGTGGATGTAGAACTACACCAGTCATTATTACTGGGACATTTGATGATAACTTGAAAATAAAAAATAAAATAAAAGAAATAAAAGAATCATGAACTCGACGACGAATTTTAAAATTGTTCCCATAATTTTAAAATGGATACATTTTTTATCGATCATTTTCATGGATTGGAAGCAAACATCTTGAAATTTTTTCTGAATAAATAATATTCACAAATTAATTAATTAATCCCATTATTGAAGGCGTCTTTTTTTCCTCTTCGGTGAAAGGCGTAACTGTTTCAGAAAAAAATAAATAAATAAAAAAATAAAATAAAATTGATTATTTACTTTGTTCAAGGAGTCCTGCTCTTAACAAAATTTAACTAATAAAAATAAATCCCTGCCCTAAAAATTCTATTTCTCGAAATTTCATGAAATTCAGTAAGTGGGTGGTAACTACCAACATTTTCTAAAAAAAAGAAAAATTCAAAAATAATTTAATTAATTTCTGAACATGTCCTGAAAGTTTCATTAAAATCCGACAATTGTTTGATTTTTGAAAGAATTTCCAAATCAGTGTGTCTTTTACCGTAAAAAGCGCAATCCCCACCAAAACCAAAAAACGAAACAAAAAGTACAAAAAACTCATTACATTTATGTCGGACGCTGACATATTAAACAAAACAAGATTTTCAACTAAAATTTCAAACCTGCTTGAAAGGATTAAAAAAATTTCAATACTTGGTTTCTCATAAAAACAAACATTTTCATGACAAAACTTTGTTTTCATCAAGTTTGGGGCGTTTTTGTTTTTTGTTTTTTTGTTTATCATGCTACTAATGCAGTTTTCCCGTGAAAATGTGGAGGTACCTACACGAAAAAAATCAGTTCCTTGCCTGAGAAGTAAAAAAAAAAAAAAATAATTTGTGAAAGTCGACCATATCTGATTTCATTTTTGATTTGATTGTATTGAAATGTATTTCTATATCGCATCATTCCGTATTTATTTATCATGCATTACGATTGTTTATCTGTAGCGATGAAGCAATAGCAATAACATTCTTTAATCATAATAATAAACAAAGAAATAATTCAAAAATGAAACACGAATAAATCATTTTTCTGCCGTCATCACACTCAGTCAGTTATAAAGAAATTTCGATAAATCATTGCATGCATGATCGAACAGCTGAGGTCATTTTTTATCCCTTACCAAAATATGTACATGACTCTTTTTTCTTTTCATCGCCTTCTTCTTCTTCCTGACTGCCGCCAAAGCTAGGCAGAATGATGTACACCAACAAAATATATCCTACAAATAGAATACAAACACGAAGAGCCGCCATGACTGTATTGATCCGGCAGTAGGACCCGGATGAAGGAGAAACGGTGAGGATGGATAATCTGTTCAACTCGTAAATATATTCCAGGGAAAAAAAGATTGCACTTTTGAAGAATTTATTTGTAAATATGAAATGATTGATATTTATGAAACGTTGTGTAAATCTAGTATAGAACCAAAAGAGTGGAACAGCAAAATTAAAATTTGCTAACCATTAGGTGAAGGCAGACAAAATATTTGGTTGTTCAAACCGGAATTTGCTGAACTAGTTCGAATTCCGATTACGGTTTGCTAACTTTTTTTTTTTTTGCAATATAACAGTAACATCCTTCCTTTGTAAAAGGTAGAAATCCAACACCAACAGTATTTTCTACTGACAGTCATATTAACCATGCTCTTGTCATCGGGAATGTGATGATGGTTATTATTATTATTATTATTATTATTATTATTATTATTATTATTAATAATAATAATAATAATAATAATAATAGGTAGTTGGATGAGCAGGCAAACAAAATGTTATTGTTTTTATGCGTAGCTTAGATATGGAACAGACTGGGGCACATAGTGAGGAACGAGCTCACTACACAGTCGTAATTGATCTCTAGCGAGACAAACTTGCTTTATCATCGGAATGATACGTGGCTAGATAGAAAAACGGTAGTTGGATGAGTATTAAATTGCATTTTTACTTAATGTAGCTTGCCATGGAGCATCCAGGAAGGCTCGAACTTAGTCAGTTACGTGTCATGCGTGATACACGCTCAGGCGATCATGTATCTTTCGATACATGACTGACAAGGCAGATTTTCCCATTTCTTTCTGCGGTAGACACCCAAGGCTGTAGAACCCGGTATGTCCTGCTATTTACCCATAGCTGGGTGGGGGGGAGAAGAACAACAGAATTCATACCTTTCCCAAGGGTATTATCACGTAATGGATTCGACTGGAATTCGAACTCGGCTCTCCGATTCCTCAATCTGAGCCGCTATCCATTACTCCACCTAACTTATTACGCAGTCGTAATTGATCTAGCTTGTAATGGACAAGCTGGCTAACCATTACAATGATTTACTAAGCGTAGTTTACATGTGGCCAAAGAAAAAAAAAATTGGAGCACCCAGTAAGGATTGAACTCACTAGCGTTGTAATAGTTCTAGCGAGACAAACATGCTAACCGCTACACCACGTTGCACATGCCTCTCAAATGACATTTATACACCTATATATAAATTAGCTTATTTAACCCGGTAGAAGCATAAATCGGCTGTTGTAGCCATTGTTATCTTTGACATTTGGATGTTACTGTTAGTCGGAGGAGCGATAATTATAAAAGAGACGATAACCAAATGCATATTATAAAAGAGCGAATTCTCTCTCCATCACACACGGTCTGCGTGTGACTTTACATGCGCATATGCAGTGTATATGCGTATGTATGTGCTGTGTGTGACTGACATACATGTGCTTATGTCATTTAATACACCAAGCGCGCAAACGCACACAATTTGACTGAGTTTCAAATAAGACATTGGAATATTACTTCCCCTTTCACTCAGTCTGCACAATCCCTACCATGGGTTGAGCAATGAAATTATAAAGCTGAAGTTAAAAATGCTGAAGTTAAAATTTTTATAACTAATAAGTCAGATAATTATGTGATTTTATTGAACTTATTCGATAAAAAGGTATTATTTTTTAAAACTCGTTTTTTTTTCCAGAAATGTTTGTAGGTCAGGCATTGAATTAAAATATACATGTGGACACGCAATCGCTCATGCACATCTAATTTGAAATGAAATGAAATGGAGATCTGTATTGCGATGGCTAAATGACCTTTCTGTCTAGTCACAAGCCCAGAAAATGTTTAAGTTGACCCTTTGAAGTCATTATTCTACTTCTGTATTTAAAATGGATATATTTTCTAATAATATTCTTAATAATATTAATAATAATATTCTTAATAAGCAAGCCATTTCAATTTGAAATATGTTCATGTTGCCAGCAGCGAGGCGATGGGAAACGAACTCGCTGCTAATAATGAAAATCTATCTATCTATCTATCTATCTATCTATCTATCTATCTATCTATCTATCTATCTATTCTGTTCGTATCTATTTCATTCCGTTCATATCTATCTATCTAAATACTAAAAGTCTGTGATTTCTTGCGTACTTGTGTGGTGCGTGTGTCCGGTTCATAATGATTTAAGTTAATCTGATTTTAAAAAAATGTTTTTAATTGAATAATTTTTAAAAATACGAGTTGCTTATACAGTACTTTTATTTTAACTCTCTTCAAACAGTCAGTTTTTTAGATTAAAATATTTTTAAGTTAACGACAGTCACAAAGAGATCCCGCTTTGCAGTTTCGTCCAGTTGTTTGTAGAGTAATTATTTATATTTCAGCTTTCTTTAAACAAAAAATATTTAAATAAATAAAATATATTTTTGGGCATATTTAAAAATATTTTCAAGTGAACATGATTCAAAAATGTTTTTTAATATGTCAAAAAATTTTAAAAAAACACTTTTCACTTGAAAATATTTTTTAAATATACCAAAAAATATATTTTATATTAAAAGTATTATACTAAAAGTCTGTGATTGTGTGCTTGTGTGGTACGTGCGTCTGGCGCATAATGATTTAAGTTAATCTGGTTTAAAAATATTTTAAGTGAATAATATTTAAAAATACGTGTTGTTTGTACAGTAATATAACAATTTCTTTTGCATTTTGTACAAATGTTCATATATAACATAAATAAATGCTGGTACTGGTGTTCAAGTTTATCCCGAAAGTTCTATTCGTATTAAATTCTGTAAAAAATCAGTAAAACGTTAATCATGAACATGTAAAACAGACACTTTAGTGTTCTACTTCAATTTTATTTGTGATCTAGCTAATTCCATTGGTTAAAAAAGATTGCAATACATTTCCTACGTAACAGTACTGCGATCGACAAAATCTTTATAAAAAAATAAAAAAAGAAAATTGTTCTCAGAGCCTTGATATTTCTCTGACTCTTAATTCCAATTAATTCCAATATCGTGTTTTCCACTCCCACCGTACGGTTAAAATTAATTTACCGCCAAAATTCTGTCTATGTGTTTCGAGCCTATCACATGACATACAACATTATAAATATTTAGCGACATTTTTAGTCTTTCTCTTTCGATTTATAATCTCTCAAGATGTAGCACTGCGGAAAGCCCGCGTTTGTCCCTTAAGGGCAAATGCTATGAAACATGCATGTACACACACACACTCGCTCACATGTACGTACGCACATCTACGACAGCTATTCATTCCTTCAAATAGAGGGATACTTATCAACTTCTAACAGTGAGCTTTGCGGCATCAAACAATTCGCCAAACAAATTTACCTCATTCAAATATATGAAGTTTCTAAGTTAGATTTCCTAACATAATCCCAAATTTCGAATTCATTCACTCGTCAACAAACTACATTTTAGTTTAAACATCTACGATTTTTATCGAGACAACAATAATTCTACTCATAAAACAAACAAACATTTTATTCAAAAAGCATCTTTGAAAATTTCTTGCATTGAGACTGAACTTTTATTTCATGAACTGAAATCTTTTTCTGCGAGTTCAGATAAAAAATATTTTCTCTTAAAAGGCTCTAAGAATTTCAAGTTAAAGGGAAATAACTCTTGCTATTAATTACAACTCTTACTATATAAAAAATCACACAGTTAATTGTTTTGTATGTCATTCAGTAGTTCGTCAGTCGATGTCGGTCGACCGGCTGATCGGTTGAACTCTCTGCCTTCGAGCGGGGAGGAACCCGAAGGAGGCTACGCCGAAGGGCGGATTCTCTTTCGGGGAGGTAAACCGACCCTGAACCCGTTTATACGTGTTCAATGGGCATATTTTTGGCCGAGCCCATGGGCTCAGAGATCCCACGTTAAACCGGCCTTGTGCCACATGACGCCCTCGTGTGTGGGGGGAGGGGGTGACTGAATATCGTCATGCAGTAAATTGAAGATTGTTTGTTCTTATAAAAACAGTTTTTGTTTTATTTCTCTTGTTTGCTTTTTGTTTGCTGACACATTTGTAAAGTAAAAAATATATGGATTGAATTGAGGCCGTTGAAACCACTACAGCACGGAGGAATAGAAATATTTAACTGAATCATTATAAAATTAACTTCCAATTCAATGGAATGTTGAAATCAACTTTAATGTTACCTGAACCATCAGTAACCCAACGGGTCACGAGTAGTCTAGTGAAGCAATAATGATAAAAGTAATAACAATTAAAATATCAGTAACAGTGATAACACCTATTTAGAATTATTTTCTCACAACACGTGTAACTGGTAACATATTATAGAGTAAGCTGAAGTCAACTGTTTCAAAGCAAAAGATGAAATGACAAGAATAAACACATCACGCAATGGCTCGGCACAGCTTTCCGGTTTCAAACATATTTCAAATTTTCAAATTAATAAAAATAAAGAATGGCCAATAAAATCAGCTCCCGCCAATAAATAAACATAGGCTTCTAGAAACCATATAAACCAGACATCCATTCAACTCAGCAGAAAGACTTCCAGTAATAAAGAGACACGAGTCAACCTCGTCACCCGGCCTTTCTCACCAAAGCAACAGCGGACTCCCATTGATCTTGTCCCCACTTTCTCTCTTCGCCACTGAAAGCCTATGTTTATTTTCTTTTCAGTTAGAGAGAAGAAATTTCTAAATACAAATTTTTATTTCGTGATAGTAGTTACAATTAAGAATCTGGGTACTTTACGTTAAATACATATCATTTTATTTGAACACGCATCAACCCTTTCTCTCATTTTTTATTCAACAAATGGTGACTCACGGAATCTTTCCTCGACAATATATCAGAGATTATACGAAAGAAGTCTATTCAATACTTCAACATTCTTATTACTATCATGGCTTCTAGTGATTCTATCGTTTGGATAGTTCCAGCTCTTCTATTTATTTACACACAGAGTA